GCGGTGAGTAATCCCAAACCAATGGCGCTGTCTCAAACTATACCTACCTCTTCCGGTTTGTCTGATTTGTCGTTGCGTTTTCTGACTTGTTATTTTGTTTTCGAATTTGTCATTGTGGTCTCTGACTTGTTATAATGTTTTCTGAATTGTTGTTGTGCTTTCTGAATTGTTATTTTGTTTTTTAGACTTGCATTTGCGTTTGTAATTTGTTATTTTGTTTTCAGAATTGTGATTTGTTTTGCACTTTTCGGCCACCGTACTTATCAGTTTGAGCCCGATTGAGAAGCAGAGGATATTATTGAAGAGGATCGTGCAGAACCTGTGCAAGCACGGCTTTTAATGGCAGGCCTAAGATTTTTGTTTGTTGTTGTCTCATACTTTTAGATACACTGTTATTTGTAAATGCTACTGTTTATGTTAGCTTTTAATATACGGTTTTATCCTGATTAAAGCTTTAATACAGTACGGCAACTGCACGAGCGTCCATGTTTAAAGCTTCTCATAGCTATGTGAAAATACAGTAAGTGTATAATTGGAACAGTTCATTGTTGGAGCTGAGCTGAATGAGAGAGAGAGAGAGAGAGAGAGAGAGAGAGAGATGCAGAGCGTGTGCAGAACAGGGGATGCGAGGAACAGTATTAAGAACCGCTGCTTTAGAACATTGATTTTGAAACTTGTGAATCCATTAGAATGTTAGAAGACAGAAACGCGATTCATATATGAATAGATTTTTATGTGCACCTCTAGTTTTCTCTTCCTCTTCTCTAAAGCAGCGCAGCATGGCCTCGCCCCCTTTGCTGCCTTTTCCCGAGGGCGGGGTTTATCTGGGTTTGTTATGTCACGAACCCAGGAAGTAACTTGTTGTAGTCCATACCAGCCGTTTTTGTAGGCATTAAACTGACAGAATGTTAAAAGACGATATCTCTGTTTGCATTGAACTTTCAGCTTCGTAACTTTGCAGATATTGTTTATGCTCAAACAGTGACAAGTGAACAAACAAGTGAAATCGCAATCAACCACCCCTTTAACAAAAGGTAGGTGTATAAAACATCTCAAATGAGAGACAATGACAAATTCAGCTTTTATTATCATCTCACAATAAATTTCTTTAAACATAATGTGATATAAATGATTCAACATTCCCTTCAGTCATTCACACATAACTACACGGGCCACCAACAACAATATACAGTAATTCATCCTTTTACCACACAGAACAAAAGAAAAGTTGATCACAGGAGGCTTTATATGCTCCTGGGTAAAACAAAAAAATGCTGAACTGTCGTTCCTCATAAATGATCACATCTCATAAACTAGATATTTATTGTAACTTAAAAATCTCAGCTCATCCTAAAACCAAATTAATGAATAAATAAATAAATATCAAGGCTCCGTCACTGTCATCACCCAGTGTCACATTTGTTTTCTTCTCAGACCACGTTCTAAATGAAAAATAAAATCTGTGATGTATATCTTGGAGTTCCATTACATGAATCCTGCTATATGAATAAACTAGCACTGTGCAACCAAGCCTTGTTTTCATTGTCATTGTACAGAAAATATTACCATTGTCATTGTACAGAAAAGACAGGCCAATACAATAAACCTGAATTACGAAATAACAATCACCAAGTGTTTTCCTTTGGAATAAAAACAAAGCATTTAAATCTTCGAGTGTCAAACGATTCAATTCTTTTATATGACTCACCATAAGCTTCTGCTTTTGATTAGAATTAAATAAACAATCCTATCCTTCCTGTTAAAAGACTCAAGACTCATTTCAGGAGAATTAGTTTGTGTCACTGTCGCTGTCAGAATTATTGGACTCTCCAAACTGTTGGCTGGCTAAATAATGAAGCTCTTGTGGCTCCAATGAAGTCATTTTACCATCAGCTCCGATTTTCATTGGCTGGATCAGCTGCTCCCTGAAAGAAAAGCATGTTAGTGGTTACTTACAACTGACGTCATACTATTTTGAAAGCACAATGAGAGCATCGCTGCTTGTAAGCTTTGGGCTTCCTGAAGTCACTTTATTACCTGGAGAGTTTATCGAACATGTTGACCAGTTTCATGGCTTCGTATTCTTTCTGTTCTTCAGTCATTCCCTCCATAGGGTTAGGCTGCTCCTCCTCCACACGGCCGGTCACTGGATTGATGCTGTACAAGACAAAAGACAAATATTTCAGATTTTTTTCTAACTTAGTGATGGCTTTTATGGTTTCTGACAATGACGTACTGAGGTTTTGCCTCTCTGTACTCCTCGGTATCGCTGTCCCTTTACAGGTTTCATGAGATACACCCATTGAAATTGGGCCAAAATTCTATTCCAGCATATAAACAGGGCACTAAAATTTAGGAAACAGCAGCACTGTCACTGTTTGCCCACAAAATATTGCCTGCTGCAATTGAATTTGGTGGCACAGTCTCACCTCATCCACCTTACGGCGGTTGGAATCAAAGGTGACGTTAAAGAGGATCTTCAGGATCTCCATGGCTCGCTCCGTCTCCTGCCTCCCCAGCGGGGGCAGCTCTGAGCAGCCGTCAAAGCCTGCACGTGCCACCTCGTAACTGTCGGGCCAGCAGAGACCGAGCGTGGCATCCAGAGCCTCTGACAGCAGACTAACACCCCGCAGCTCACGTGCCAGCTGGGCTCTTATATCCACGCGCAGGGCGGTGATCAGGAACGTGAGGCGCAGGTCAAAGAATCGCACGTCGTGGTTCCATTGCGTTTCACGGCACTGTTTCAGCCTCTCGGCCAATCCCACGATCAGCTGGAGCTCCGCCCCCGCCTCCTGAGCCGCCTCGCTGTTGAACACGATGTTACACAAGCACTTCAGGGCCTCCACGATCACTTCCAGGTCTGGGATTTCGGGCGTGACGCCCTCACCCTGACCAAGGCCAGCATGTCGGATCAGGATCTGCATGGCGTGGCGGGTGGCAAAGGGAGCCAGGCTCTTCTTGTCACGGGACAGGATGCGGATGGTTTCCAAGCAGGCCAACTGACAGGACGGCTGGAGGTCTCTCTCCAGGAAGCCCAGCACTAACTCGCCCAGATGCTGAGAGACGAGAGAGAGATACGGTGAACAGCAGCAACCATCTACACCAGGGATCCTCAAATCTGGCCCACGAGATCCACTTTCCTGCAGAATTTAGTTCTAACCCTAATCAAACACACCTGAGCATGCTAATCAATGTCTTCAGGATCATTAGAAAATCACAGGTAGGTGAGTTTGATCAGGGTTGGAGCTAAACTCTGCAGCGCACTGGCCCTCCAGGGCAAGATTTGAGGAACCCTGATCTACACCATCACTTGAGTCAGCGGTTCTCAAATGGCTTTGCTTTAAAATCTAGATTTTACAATGGACAGTATCAAATTTGTGCACCAACGGTTTTTGTTTTTACTGCTTAAAAAGTACTTAAAAAAAAAGTAATTATTATAAAATGTAAATGATATATATGCATGTGTGTGTAAAAATTATAATTACAAAAAATAATAAAAAAATTTAAATATTACAAATTCTGAAACATACATTACAATTTCAAAGTTTGGGTTTAGTGATTTTTTTGTTTTTGTTTTTGAAAGAAGCCTCTTATGCTCACCAAGGCTGCATTTATTTGACCAAAAATACAGTAAAAACTGCAAAATGGTGAAATATTATTACAATTTAAAATAACTGTTGTCTATTTTAATATATTTTAAAATGTCATTTATTTCTGTGATGGCAGAGCTGAAATCATTCAAACCTTCAGAAATCACTTTCAGAAATCACTCTATTACCCTGAGTTAATGCTCAAGAAACATATCTTAGTATTATTAATTGTGCTGCTTAATGTTTTTGTGTAAACATTTTTTTTTTTTCAGAATTCTTTGACGAATAGAAAGTTCAAACGAACAGAAATTTAAAACAGAATTCTTTTATAACATTATAAATGTATTTACTGAGATTTCTCTCTTTCTTTAAAAGAAACAAACAAATAAAAATAAAAATAAATAAAAATAAAAATAAAAAATCTTGACTGACTACACATTTGAAGGGTGGTGTAGATATTTTAGATCTTAAATATAAAATACATAAATAGATATAAAAAGATATAGAAATCAATAAAAATTACAAATATACAACATATTTAAAAATACATTACATATAAATACATCAATTATAAAAATACATGAAAATTCTGTCTGTGACCCTATCAGAACAGACCAATTGAGAAACCCACCAATTGAGAAAAACTGTTAGAGGCTACGTGAGAGAATCTCTTGAGTGTTATTTTCCTGCGATTCAGTGGTTAAAAACTTTCAGCTTTGAATTCATGTTTTAAAAACACACTTGAGACCTGTTTATGCTAGAGTAGCAACATAACAACATTATGTCCATGTTTCCCAAGGTAATTTAATGAATCACACTTGGTGTTGTAGAAATAGACACCTGGAGTTCCTGAGAGGGATCATTCATTATTGTTAGAGTAGACAGCTCGCTATATACACGGGTGGAAGACTGACAACTCCTCAAATTCTCCCTGACTGTGTTTCACTGCCAAGACCTCCAACTATCTCACTCTAGAATTTAGTTACCAGATTGGAGTCCAACTGTGACACGTCCTTACATAGCCCAGCCAAGCAATGAACAAAACGAGATCTGTTTGAAACCCATCTGTGACACCACACGGTGATAACCAAATATAGCAGCATTATGGGGTTACAGTCTTTACCAGGGGTTTCCAAAGTGGGGCCTGCAGTTTTATTGTGAAATGCTATGGAAACAATTATGTACTAAAAATTATTTAGAATTTATACAAATATTTTCCAGACAATATATTAATAATTTATTTCGCCTTTAGTATAAATTAAATGATAATTATGCATGTTTTAAATTAAAAGAGCAACAAAAATGGTCTTCCACCAAAAATAGCAGCATTATAATGTTATAGTCTATACCAGGGGTTTTCAATTTGTGATTTGGATCAAATTTTGGAGAGAAAAAAAAGGTGAAAAAATCTGCTTACAAGCTAATCTGTTATTACTCATGCATAAAAATTACATGGTACATGCATAATACTGCGCTAACAACAACAGTTACCAAAAGTGAGTTATCCAAAACTTCAGACGTGTATGCTAGATAATTTCTGTCTTTTGTGACTAGTCCCACAATGTTCTGGAATGTTCCAGAGAGCACTAGAATATTACAGAATGTTACAGAAACTTCGATGTTCCCATCTTTGCAAAAGCAAAAAACATGCAAAATTAGTACAAAAACGTATCTGTACTAAACCAATGTTTCTTAATTAATGATAGAAGTTCTAAAATTTACCTGAACGCATATTTACCAAAATATTGACGCTACGTGAAAATAAATAGTACAATAATAGTTAGCACAACAGAATTATAGAAAAACAAATTTTTGTTACATTATTTTGAATTCAACTAATATTTTCCAGATAATATTTTAATGATTACTTTTGGCTTTAGTACAAATGAAAAGCTTATTTGGTTTTTAAATAGCAACAAAAATTGTCTTTATAATATCACACTTACTATTTTTCTCACACAGTATAAAGAAAAAGAGAGTTCTTTGCAAGCCGGTTATCATGTTTGAGGGGTCCTTGGCATCAAAAAAGGTCTATACATCTCAGTGCAAATGTGATTTACTGTAGTAGTGCTTTTTGTAAAGTGGTATATTGCTGTTGAAGCCCAAAGTTGCGTATTATAAGCGTACTTGGGAACTCTGATGACCAGAGTGACCATAGAACTGAACACTAAAATGAACACTAAAAGAATAACGGGATGATAGTGAAAAGTGGTAATAGCCAAATCTGCAACAAAAATCTTGCATTCTTTACTCCTTTTTAAAATATATCCTATTTTTACATAAATTTATGACTAACATTTTTTGTTTGCATGAAGCATTGATTTTTCTCTGCTTTCCTCAACCCATCGTGACCCATCAGAACCACTGGTCTATATATTAGCATTGGCCATAGACTTGTATTGATCGACCACTAGTTCCAACATCACGTACTCAAATGGGAAAATATTAATGCTAACATTAAAATATTAATAGTGTAAACAATGCAAATGGAATGAGACAGCATACAGATAAAGATCCCATTTGTTTCACTGCAAAACAGGGTCGGCGCCAGAGCACACAAAGTGAGGGGGCAGGCACAATTTATTGGGGGGGCCGCACTTATCTTTTTTTTTGGGGGGGCGGAGGCTGCTTTGAAAAAAAAAAATGTTTCTGAAAGTAATTTTCAGATGCAACGGGGGAAAAAACGGGATAAACACAAACATGAAACTTGTAAATAAAATAATCTGATATATATGTACAATTTAATAACATATAGCCTAGTTTGATATATGAATTGGGTGTTCGTCAAAGATTGCTTCAGTGTCACATGATCTTCAGAAATCATTCTAATATGCTGATTTGCTGCTCAAGAAACATTTCTGATTATTATCAATGTTGAAAACAGTCGTGCTGCACAATATTATTTGTGGAAACCAGCATACATTTCAAACTTTTCAAAAGATTGCACGCGGACGGAGATTCCCGTGTTTACAGCTCTGTAAAATAACCTACTGGAAGCTCTGTAGTTTTGCTGTATAGGCCTATAGATAAAAATATAAAAATTACAAACACACAATAACATTTTAAGTTACTTACATAATTCGAAACTGCAAAGTGCAAAGTGTTAGCAGTTTGAAAATTCAAGAATAATAGCAAAGTTAATAAGAATTCTTTCTAAATGCAGCACCGTTCTTATTTCGCTCTGCATAATCTGAACGAAAAAATATTTTTTGCTAAGAACGAACCGAAATGAAAACATTTCGCTTTTAATCTGTGTATTTAACAGCCTGGGAGACCTTCCCAGGGCAGTACCTTGCCTCACCGACTAAAATCAGGGCGCCCACTACGGAGACGGCACCAGAGGTGAGGGGGCACAGTGACCGAGGTGGCCGGG